AGGTGAGTGCTTTTCACTCACCTCATAGTTCTAGCCGACCTGTGACAATGAGACTGTCACAGGTCGGCTCAGTAGATCGGGAAGTGAGTGAACACATACCAGCGTTCGCTCTCTTCTCAATCCTGTCACAGCTCTCTGCCATGACAGGGGAGGGACTGGATTCCCCGCTCCGATCCTCCAACGCTGACTGGCAGAGGGGCGGATACAGCTGGCTCTGCCTCTAGATAGGCAGAGCCAGCTGTCACTCACGCAGCTGGGTGGATCCAGACATAATTGTCGGGATCCGCTTCAGCTGCGGCGTTTTAGTATACCGCGAGCTGTAGCTCACGGTATACTGAGCTTAGGGTGACGGGAGGACGCTAGTTTGTGTCCTCCCGTTACCCTAAGGAGAACTATGGGGAAAAGCCCTAACCCCATAGTTCTCCTTTAACCATTAATACAGTTTATTTTATTTTTTTAAACCTTCTAAAAGTGTTAAGGGGTTCCCTTACTGTATTCAAGGAATCCCAGTCATCCAAATGGCAACATCACTTCCTGTGTAGGGGTGTTCATGTTGCCTGAGAAACCTGTAATGGATAGCCTGACATTATCTGTTAACTGTACAGCATGAGCACACACGTCTGTAGTATCTTCTCAGCAGCACTTACACAAAGGTGACACTGCATCCATTGTATTGCTGTGTATAATTGTCATCATTAAAATGGAAGTTAATATCTGGCAGGATCCACAGGTAAGATTATAAAAGAGACAGAAAGCAAAAAATAGGCTCTGCCACTGCAGCGGTACATTGGCTCAAACATCTGCAGTTGTGGATCTAAGGTTCACATACACTTTTAAGAATCTTATAGTGCCCAGTATTTAGATTGTATTTTGGGGATTATGTACTACCATATATTTAGGAATGGATCTTCCTCTTGTCCCACTGATCTTTATTAAAGGGTTCTGTACCTGTTCATAATACAAATAGAACAATTCTTCCCTCCCCTATTCAGGTTTGTCTTCTGTTTGTTAAATATTACTATAATACCAGAAGCTTTTTGTCTTGGTACTATTCCTTTCAATTTGGAAGTCATTAAGTGTTTTCTTAATTAAAAACAAGCTAGCATTACTGCTATTCTTTTCCTGTACCTGTCAACATGTCTTTAATACAGTACAGTATTTTGAAAGAATTCAATTACTCTGTGTGAAACTGGCAGCAAGAATTTATGACAAAGAAATTATATAATACTCCACATTGTTTTCTTATTCAAGTCAGTCTATGAATTTTGCACTTTTTTTAAAGAGGGGTGTAATTAAGAGATTGACTATAAAATTATTATTCGTGACATCAACACAGCATGATACCTATAAAACATCTTCTAGTACTCACATTATACAAGTACATTTTACTAAATATTTAGTCAGCTCTTATAAGGTTCACTTATTTCACAAAATGTTGCTATTATGTAATGCTTACAAATGTCCAGCCAGTTTAAATGTTGGGTGTCCAGGAAAGGAGCAGTAATAAGAATAAAGAGCGGTAAGAAGAGTAGATGATGCTTTCCAAGCTTCTAGGCCAGTTGATTTCTGCACTGTTCCCACACAATGCGATATATAGTTACATAGTATTTGAGGTTGAATAAAGACATGAGTCCATCAAGTCCAACCTATTGTGTGTATGCATTTATGTTTCAGCAGGTGTGTGCGTGTGTATTAGTCCAGGTGTCATTTTTCTCTTAGGCGTACCTGTACCCCTGTATATTATGGTCTCCGAGGAACTCGTCCAGGAGTTTCTTGAATGGGTCCACACTCTTAGCTGAGATCACTTCCTGTGGCAGCGAGTTCCAGACCTTAACCGCTCTGACTGTGAAGAACCCCTTGCGCCCTGTATGTTGAAACTTTTTTTTCCACCAATTTTTGGTTGTGCCCTCTGGTCTTTGTTACGGAGCTAACCGTAAACAGTTTGTTAATAATGTTGCTGTCACCCTTAAATAGTTTATACAAGAAGATCATGCCCCCCCTTTAATCTCCTAACCTCCAAAGAGAACATATTTAATTTTAACAACCTTGTTTCATAGTTAAGGTCCTCGAACCCCTTAATGAGTTTGGTTGCCCTCCTCTGGACTTTTTCCAGCTCAAGGACATCCTTTTTGAGTATTGGTGACCAAAACTGGACCGCATACTCCAGATGTGGCCGAACCAGTGATCTGTAAAGTGGCAAAATTATAGACTTGTCCCTGCAATACATTCCCTTCTTAATGCAAGACAGGACTCTGCTTACTTTGTTTACAGCAGTCTGCAAGCCATTCTTCAGTCTGCGGTCTATAATGACCCCCAAATCCTTCTCCGTTTCCGACTTTCCTAGTGGCACACCCATAAGTGTATAGTCCATTTGCCTATTTTTAACTCCAAGGTGCATTACCTTACATTTATCGACATTGAACTTCATCTGCCATACAGTTGCCCACTCCCCGATTTTCTCCAGGTCCTCCTGTAATGTTACAATGTCTGAATCCGTGTATATTACCCTCCGGATTTTCTTATCTTCAGCAAACACTGATATAGATCACTGAACCAATCATTTCATATGTCTGTGTATCCAGATGAATATCTGAGTATCTGAGACATTAAACTGTATGTATTTCAATAATATAACAGGGAAATGAAGAAGAACTCCAGGCAACACTTGTATTCACCCTTGCAGTGGGGCTACCCCCATTCTTGAATGTTTCAGGTGTAATGAAAAGAGAATTACTTGAATGTTTCAGGTGTACTTAAATGTTCTTTTCTTTATCGTCCATTGAGGGACACAGGGATGTAGTAATTCCTAAAAATGTGGGTTATATGCTACCACTCACAGGAGGTTTGGACGCTGGCAAACAGAAAAACCATTAAAGGCCACCCCCCAAATAACTCCGTCTCTAGCTGTCATGCCTAAGTTTTTTTTTTTTGAGTGTATCATTTTCCTCAGTTCTGCTGAGAAAAAGCCTTTTTAACCTTCTTTATTTTTTCTTCAGTCAAGCTGCTCGGCATACTGTAGATTCATTTTTTTTATTTCGGTAACTTCGGTCAAGACTTAAGAACACTGGTCTCTACACAGCACCTATCTGGCTCTGCAAATCCTCAGCAAAAGGAGGCCATACCCTGACCCTACTGTATGGGAAGATTGCAGGCTTGCCTGGAATGTGTCCTTTAGCCATTGGGTTGTGCATTGAAGCACTGTCCAAACCTTTGTATACTTTTATCTGTGGAATGGTTTCACGTTCCAGAGCCATGGCACAGCCTCTGGTGTGACCCAGTCACATATTAAGTTGGCCTCTGGAAATGGCAAGGGTAGCATAGAATGTGACCTTTGAGAACTGGGCTCTGCATTGTGGCTATTTCCACACTTTTGTTTACTGTGTTAATTTGCTTGAGAGAGCTCTCTAGGTCAAAAGACGTGGCACAGCCTTCCGGTGTGCCCTCATCTCTTAAGTGTGACCTACTGAGCAAGGCTGGGCAGACTGAAGCACCAGGAATTACCTCACCATTGGATACTATTTGTAAAAATTTTAATTGCGGTAAGGCTGAGGAATTGAGTGATGATGTCATCTGGTAGGTGAATTGCTGTGCTTGTGCTTACTGTTCTCTTTCCCACCATTCGGCCTAGAGGAAGCACCATCCTCCTCTTGCTCCTGAAGAATAAAGTGGATCTCCGGTCCCTGGTTCCGTTCCACTGCCTATCTACAGGGGGTCACTTCTGGCTGTCTAAAACCTCATCAGCACCGCTGCCCAGGTTTGTGAGTACTTGAGGCCTTCCCTCACAATGGGCCTAGCGGTGGACTGCCGTAAGTGCAGTATGTCTTCTCACAGACATACTGAGAGCAGTCCTGCTTTAATTGGTCACCTCAGCCCACAGTTCCCTAAGGGTTCTGGGGGCATTTTTCCTGGTATGATGGTTAGAGGTGGGGTTATATGGGGGTCTCCTTTGCAGCTCCAGTCTCGGAGCCCCTGGATAGTGGAACAGGTGCGCAGGGACATAGAGAAGCACATTGCCATGATAAGTAGGGTCAGTCTCTGCCTTGCTGATGAGTCTGAGGCAGGAAGCAGGCACGTGTTTGTAATGCACAGGAGGCAGAGTTTGGTGCCTATAAGATATGGTTTTTCAGGCCAATTAGGTCCATCGCTTGTCTTTTTTTGACACAGACAGGTTTCTACCCAAATGTACTATGTGGGGCTGCCAAGGCTTAAAAATAATCTTTCAGTTGGAGATAAAAGTCTCCCACATTATGTCACCTCCTAGTGGAGTTTTATCAAGGATGAGTTTTCAAACTATTCTTGCCAGCACCAGTAGTGTTACCAAAAACAAATATTGATGCTGTGATACTTTTAGTATATTAAATTCTGACAATTGCAGTGGTAAATGAGAAATGTGGGGTTATTTTCCTTCTAAATTTGCTTCTCATGCATTTTGAGCATGTTTGAGCTGTGCTAATAAAAAGCACACCTTGTCTATTCTGTACAAAAAAAAAAAAATACAACCAAGCTGTAAATTCTTTCTGGGGTTTTCATCACCTATCTACTTGTCAAGTCTATGTTATTCTACAATGATCCAGTATTGCCCCTTTTATCAAATATTCTTTATAACACCTGTCTGTCAGGAGAGAGAGATAAGGGGGCTGCCATTGCTAAACTCCTCCTAAAAATGTTAGGCAACTAACATTGTCAGAAATAAAGGCCAGCAATGGCGCCCTACATGTTTTTGTTGTTGCAGGGTTACTTAAAGAAAAATTGGGATGCTTTAACGCATCAGCTTACGCGTTATTTATCAAATATAAGGTACAGTTAACTATTTGTGTTTTCATTTGATTCCAGGGGTTGATGTGTTGCAATACTGTGCTGGCAAATGTCTTAACATTTGAGAACTTGCATGCATTTCATATTATCAAAATGAATAAAACTTCACCACCATCTTTGTTATACTAATATGTAGCTATGGTAAAAAGTACCTTCAATTTGTCCAACCTTCTGTTCTTTCCTAGACTGTTAAAAGTGTGTGGCTCGGAACTTGTGCGCCTGGAGCTGGCCTGTGGCCACTTTTTAAATGAAGCATGCCTGGAAGTCATTGCAGAGATGTGTCCAAATCTTCAGGAATTAAATCTCTCCTCTTGTGATAAGCTGCCACCTCAGGCTTTCAGCCATATCTCTAAACTCTGTGGATTAAAGCGCCTTGTACTTTACCGCACAAAAATAGAGGTAAAGACGGTTTTCCTTTTTAATTTTAACTAGGTGAATGCATTTATCACATTATGTTTGTGTGTAGAGCAACAGAAAAATGTCTGGAAAAATGTTCAGCCTATAACATAACCAGTCTCAGTGAATTAAAATGAACTTTGCAACTTGGCAAACAAACCTCTGTGTATATAGTGTATAATACCATTGGATGCTTGACTTTGTGCACTTTGCAATCTTGTATTCAACTTTGGGACATTCATTTTATTTTAAATGACATAAAATAAGAGTGTCTTTCTGTTTCAAATAACAGAGCTGAAGGAATTGCTATCTTACCTAAAACAATATATTTATTGTGCACTATACTGTTAAAATAAAATACTTCTCCTTTACTACTGTCACCATAACACCATAACAGTGAAGAAAATAATTATTTGATCCCCTGCAGATTTTGTAGGTTTGCCCACTTACAAATATCAACCAAAAATCCAGAAAAAACAAATGATACAAATGTTATAAATTGAGTTGCAGTTCAGTGAGTAAAATAAGTATTTAATCCCCAAGCAAAACATGACTTAGTACTTGGTGGAGAAACCATTGTTGGCAAGCACAGCGGTAAGACTTTTTTTGTAGTTGGTTACCAGGTTTGCACACATCTCAGGAGGGATTTTGGTCCGCTCTTCTTTACAGATCTTTTCTAAATCCTTAAGGTTTCTTGGCTGTTGCTTGGCAACTCGAAGTTTGAGCTCCCTCCATAAATTTTCTATAGGATTAAGGTCTGGAGACTGGCTAGGTCACTCCATGACCTTAATGTGCTTCTTCTGGAGTCACTGCTTTGTTGCCTTGGCGGTATGTTTTGGGTCTATGTCATGCTGAAAGACTCATCTTCAGTGTTCTGGCTGAGGGAAGGAGGTCCTCATACAATACATGGGCCCCGTCCATTGGCCCCTTAATGCGGCAAAGTCGGCCTGTACCTTTTTAGCAGAGAAACAGCCCCAAAGCATAATGTTTCCACCTCCGTGCTTGACTGTAGGGATGGTGTTCTTAGGGTCATAGTCAGCATTTTTCTTCCTCCAAAACACGGCGAGTTGAGTTAATGCCAAAGAGCCCAATTTTGGTCTCATCTCACCAAAGCACTTTCTCCCAATCCTTCTCTGAATCATTTAGATGTTCATTGGCAAACTTCAAATGGGCCTGTACATGTGCCTTCTGGAGGAGGGGGACCTTGCAGGCGCTGCAAGATCTCAATCCATGGCGGTGTATTGTGTTACCAATGTTTTGTTTGGTGACTGTGGTCCCAACTGCCTTGAGATCAATCACAAGCTCCTCCTGTGTAGTTCTAGGCTCATCCCTCACTTTTCTCATGATCATCCTTACCCCATGAGGCGAAATCTTGCATGGAGCTCCAGACCGGTGGCGATTGATGGTTATTTTGCATTCCTTCCATTTGCGAATAATCGCTCCAACAGTTGTTTCCTTCTCACCAAGCTTCTTGCTGATAGTGTTGTAGCCCATTCCAGCCTTGTGCAGGTCTACAATCTTGTCCCGAACGTCCTTTGACTGCTCTTTGGTCTTGCCCATGGTGGTGAGGTTTGAATGGAAGAAAGAGATTCTGTGGACAGGTGTCTTTTTATATACATAACAAGTTGTCGTTAGGAGCACCTTCACGAATTGACAGGACTAATCTGTGTACCACATAGTCAGTCAGTGGGAGCCAGAATTAATGTTGGTTGGTAGGCGATCAAAAACTTATTTAACTCACTGATCTCCAACTCAATTTATAACATTAGTATCATGTGTTTTTTCTGGATTTTTGGTTGATATTCTGTTTATGATAAAAATGATAGACCTTTTATTTCTTTGTAAGTGGGCAAACTTACAAAATCTGCAGGGGATCAAATAATTACTTTCCTCACTGTATATCTTGTGTCAGATACCATGACACTTCAGTGTTCTGCTGTGCCAACTTTCATATAATGCAGTGTGATGTGTCTCAGCACTAGTACCTCTGCCATACAAACAGTAGATAAACCATCTCTCTTCTCTCTCTATGCTTATTTTGGGGCAACTCCGATTCCCCTTAGGAGGATCCCTGCTAATTGGTTGATTATACCTGGGATTATACCCAGGTTCTCTGGTTTCTGCTGCTTTTCCAGTGGCCCTAACCATTTCTGTATTCCTGACCTCACTGTGGCCTTAGTCAATCCTCCTTCCCCATTTTCTATCATTTATTGAGGGACACGGCTCTGACGAAGTTTGAGACATAGGGTTATGTTGCTGTCTCCAGAAGAAATGGACACTAGGCAAAAAAATGTAAAGCCTGTCACTTTAAGGACATAACCCCTCCCACCTGCTAGTTTTGCTTAGTGCCCTTAGGAGAATGGATGTCTCCTTCTCTTCTGGTTTATTATTTTAGTTTATTTTGTTTCTTTGTTGAAGATTCTACTACCAAGAGCTGCTAGTTGATTCATACCAGCTATTATTGAGTTCTGGAAGTTTCTCTAGCTAGCCAACAAAATTGAGAGATTAATTCCATATATGTTAAATCCTGAAAGTTTCACTTGTCATGAAGCAGGTTGCTTCTAGTCTCAGTACTTACACTTTGTCCTGCGGTGGTCCTGTGTTTCTATTTTAACATTTAATGGTCAGGCCAGTATTATCTGGGGATTCCTGTTATGTTGGGAACAGGGCCATGGAGTCATGAGTAAAAAATGTATTTAACTCTTCTTTAAAAGGTTGGGTGTTTTTCCTTCCTTTTATATTTTACTTGGGCTGTATGCTTTTAGACTCCTATTTGTCGAAATGCTTTTATGTGGAGTTTGACTGATTTTTGTTAACTTTCCCTCCGTCTCTTTAAGAGGCCAGGACTTCGATTTGATGACACACTTGTTTCTATCTACTGCACATGTGCGAGTATGTGCAGTCCCTTTTTCTGGTTTCCTCAGAGTGGTGTAGTGCATTGCTATCAGCGGTGAATGTTGTTTCAACTTTGCTTCCTTTTATATCTGCTTTTAATCTCAATTTAATGTTGCTTATTGGGGAAAACAGAGAGAGTGGTTGCTGTACCTCATATTTTTTTTAATGATTGTTATTGGGAGTATTATTGTGTCGAATGTATCGATTTAGACACAATGGCAGAATGACTGGTAGAACAGACTGCCATTAGCAAGGCACTCTGTGAAAGTGATTTTTTTTTCCTTTCCTTTCCTATTCTGTGTCTTACTACTAGTTTTAGTCAGAAATGTATGCCATTGGTGTCACTGCTGTTTCTAGTTCTTCCAGTCACACGTGTCCTGTACATTACAAGGCCTCTGAGGTGTTGCTATGGTGACCTGTGCTTGTTATACTTTATATAGTTCACAAGTTGGCCACATGGGGGAGCTCTCCTATTTATTTCTGCTCAGGCCTATTGGGGAAAAAAACAGTTACTGTTTATTTCCTTCCTCTTTTTCTCCCTGGATACTGATGTAGTTTTGTTTAAAAAAACATCATCAGTTACGGTCCTTATTTCCCAGACTTTGGATACTTTGGAGCTCAATGTCTAGATGGTGCTGCGGACATTAGAGGACTTCGGGTGGATTCTGAACATCGATAAGTCATCCCTAGTTCCGTCACATCACTTTGGGTCTTCTCTTGGATACCCTTAAAGCAAAAGTATTCCTTCCTCAGAACAAAATATTGAAGTTGTGAGATCAAGTTCGTCACTTTGATACCATCGCCGTTCTTCTCTGAAAACCTTTATGAGCATATTGTGATTGATGTCAACCCTTGAAGCAGTTTATTTTCGTTGGTGTGAGTCCTTGGGGTGTTTCTTCAATTTGGGGTGGTCAACGTTAAGCTTTAGTACCATAAAGGGTCAGATATCTGCCTTGCCAGTCCCTTTTCCAGCATCCTCTTCCTTCTAATTCCTTGATTCATAGTTCATAGGGAATTGCACATGTTAGGTCTCCTCTTCCTCTGTGGGATTTGAACTTGGATAAGTTCAAAAGGAGAGTTTTGTAGAACAGATAAAACCAAGTAATTTTTATGTCTTTATTATTCAAAAAGGTTGCTTTAATTGTGTCCGTTGCCTCAGCTAGAAGGGTTTCCGAGTTGTCTGCTTTGTTTTGTTAAATACCCTATTGGTTCTTTATAAGAACAAGGTGGTTTTAAGAGCACAGGTTTTCTTTTTTACCCAAGGTGGTTTTGGCTTTTTTAAAGACATTGAAGACATTGTTTTACCTCACTTTGTCCAGCTCCTGTTCATTTTAAGGAAATGTATCTCTCTCATTTTTTGCATGTTGTGCGGGCTGTTAAAGTATCGGAATGCCTAAAGAGAGCTGTGGCTGACAAATAAACGCCATTTGTTCAACCTAAGGGCTTGTTCACACCAAATGCAGACCAGATCTGCATGAGTTTCTGCACACGCAGTGGGTTTTGCCACGTTTTTGATGCGCTCCAGGCCATTTTGGTAAAAAATATATATTTTTAGTTTAGAATGGGCTTTCAGTGCTTTTCAGGGTGTTTGCATGCGTTTTTGATGCATTTGCATGCATTCCAGAGCAGGTAAAATAGGCCTTGCTGCAGTTTTTTTATATGCTCTGGAACTGAATGCTGCGGTGTGAACTAGAGCCCAAAATACCATTGGAATAAATTGCACACAGTTTTGATCCGGTCTGTAACTGTTCTGCTCCTGGAACGCGCTTGGTGTGAACAAGGTCTAAAGGTCCTAGAAGAGGTTGTTCAGCTTCTACCGTAGATCCGCTATTTCTTAGTGGAGTCATCAGGTTGTCATTCAAGCTTATGAATTGCAGGATAAGGGTCCCCATTTTCCTGTCTCTGCTCATTCTTCTAGGGCAGTTAGTACTTTTTGGGCTTTTTTCAGAATCGAGCTTCTGTTATTCAAATTGCAAGGTCACAACTTGGTCTTCTGTTCACACTTTTGCTAAGTTTTTTAAAGATGATGTTTCTGTCTGTTTTTTGATGCTAGTTTTCGCAGAAGGGTTCTTCAAGAGGCTGTTTTGAATATTTGAGCTGGTTCTTATAGTTATGCTGGTGCCCGCCTATCTGTTTTGGATTGCCTTTGAACGTCCCTACATCTCAGAATTCTTCAGAGCTGTGTCCCTCAATGGACAATAGAGAAAATAGGTTTTTGTTCTTACCGTAAACATGGGTCTCTCCCCTCATTTTCTTTCATACTGCTTGCTACAACTGGTAGGTGTGAGGTGGAAGAGGTTATGTCCTTAAAGTGGCAGGCTTTAAATGTTTGGCCTAGTGTCCATTTCTCCTGGAGGCGGCAGCAGAACCCTATGTCTCAGAATTCTTCAGAGCTGCGTCCTTCAATGGACTCTAAGAAAGGGATTTGATGGTAAGAACAACATCCTGTTTTCGTTCAGGACAGGTGTCCTCTCATGGTGCCTATTGAGTGAGGAATGTCAAGGCTAACATCTGAACATTCTTTACTGGAACATTATTTTATACAGTTCAGTAAAAAAAACAGCAGCAACTCTTCCTTAAGTTTAAGTATCAGTCTCACATGGTGTTTGAAGTTTCCACAGCAACACTTTCTTTAGAGCTGCTTACTTCTCAATCCCATCAATGACTCTCCCTCTGACTACCCAGGAGAGCCCATGAACACTCATTATTTATATATTTTACACTTGTGTTCCCATATATTTTTATTTCTTCCTTGTGCATACTAGATTTCATGTGTTGGATTCATGTATTGAATAGTCACCAACCTTACCATAGAACTGCTCCTAGAGCTGTCCTGGCCTCTACATAGGAGTTTTGGAACAGGATATTATCTAGTCATTCCTGAGTACATTTTATTTTGTGAATAGTTCATTTGTACTGCAAAAGTCAAATAATAGCCCACACTATTCAGTAATGAGTTCAGTGGAACACACTACCTAAATATTGAATTTATTTTTGTTCCTTTTCTTTGTTCAATACAATGTTCCTAGCCGTGTAAATACCAGGCTTTAAATTGTTGCTGATTGTGAACAATGTGTTTGTTTTACTATTTGGTTGGTGGTACACTGTCCTTTTAACTCCCATTGGGTCTTTGACTTTGCATTTCAAAGGCATTGCTGGGTTCTTTAAGCTTCCATGCCTTTTTGTAGCACTATTGTCATCATGGATATATTGAGTATCTCATGTCTTAGGTCTTTTTAAACATTTAGGTATCAATTGTGAAAAGTATCTGTCTGTACAGGTGAAACTCGAATAATTAGAATATTGTGCAAAGTTCATTTATTTCACTAATGCAACTTAAAAGGTGAAACTAATATATGAGATAGACTCATTACATGCAAAGCAAGATAGTTCAAGCTATGATTAGTCATAATTGTGATGATTATGGCTAACAGCTCATGAAAACCCCAAGAACCCCAAATCCATAACTTCGAAAAAGTAGATTATTACATGCAATCAATAAAAAAGGATTGTACATAGAACAATATCGGACCTCTGAAAAGTACAAGCATGCATATGTACTCAGTACTTGGTTTGGGCCCCTTTTGCAGCACTTACTGCAATTACTTTTGCACGATATTCTAATTATTCGAGTTTCACCTGTATGTTTTAGGGGCTACTGTGTGTATGTGTATTTACCCACATTAAATAAAGCCCAAATGAACCCTCTAAATGTATTACTGTGATGCAGTCAGGATGCATATACATTATTATGCCTATTCTCTGCCTATTCTTATTGAAGTGCTGTAGTAAGGGTTTAAAAAAAACAAAAACCTTGAGAGACACTTGAGAAGTGGCCCATACATGCTCCCCAAACTCAAACTTATCAATAGCGCTGTTCATGGAGTGATGTTGATTAGACCAGTGTTCAGTGGGGTGTTGTGGACCACAGGAGAGCTTGTGTGTGAGAACCACAGCCCAACATTTCAATTTGTTGGCAGCAAGTGGTTTTTTTGTTTGTTTTTTTTTATTAGGCCCTTTAGCAATTATTAGACGCCATTTTTAAAAAGCCATATTTTTTACTGTATATGCAGCCTGACTGTATACAATAATAAATTAAGAGAGTTCAATTGAGTTTTTAATCCAAATTTCATTTAATGATTGTTCTTATCACTGAAAGTTGATTTCTGATCCATCTAGTTGCTGTGAGGTACTATTCTTTTGCATATTATCCACATTGCTTATTTGCTTTATTAAATAAACCTAAATGTTTGGGTAGTTGTACATGTGAGTTTCCTTTAGCAGAGACCTTTTCTAATGTTTGGACTATGCCCATTTATAGATTTTTATTTCTAATAATGGACTGTATTAGGGTAGTACAAGTGCAGTAATTCATACCCACCAATCAAAAATGATTTACTTTTCTGCCAGCAGTGAACTGGAATATATTTGGTTGCTCTGGGTTTCTACACGTTGCCTGTGGTTTTTGTACATTTTTATTGTTTTATTAAATAAGTGCAGAATTGTCTGCAGATTTTTTTCCTCCATAGTGCATGCTGCATAGAACAATTCTTGTACTTAGTGTCAGTATTGTAGAAGTGGGTAGACCTTCAAGTAGTATCCTTGTCAGCTCATTCAATCCTGAGTCTCAAAGGTCAGAAGCTTGATGCTGATTCTCTTCAGCCTTATTGGCATTTCTATCAGTCTTTGGATAAAGATGTCAAATATTCCATTGCCTGCTCTTCTGGGACGCTCTTGGGTATCTTCACTTATGACCTGGTCTCACTATATCTTTGAACTTAACCGTTCCTTTTAAAAGAAATCCTTTGGGAAAAGGTTGCCAAACTTAAAGGAAAATATCTCTTCAGGGGATAAGAAATCACTTCCAAAGTGACAGACATTTTGGTCTGTAATGATTTTTAGACTATAAATTAATCAATGTCCAGGATGCCTGGGGACTCATTAATTGACTTGTGTAATTTTTGTAAGGGAAACCTAAAGCTGCATTATAAGCAAGGCAGGTGATGACCTAATTGACCCTTTCTCTTTTTTTTTTTCTTTTCCAAATCTGCTTTTATATGATTCAATGGCAGCAAACAGCTCTACTTAGCATTCTTAACTTCTGCCCAGAGATACAGCACCTTAACCTCGGAAGCTGTGTTTTGGTAAGTACTTAAATGGTAGTTTTGGCTTTTACTGTTTTTTCCTTTTTTATTTTATTTCTTACTTTCAGATACAATTTAGATATTGTTGTTGCAATCTTTGGTGCCTGTTTATAACCGGTAAAAATGGCTAAATCACATTTTTTGTGGGGAACTATAATTTACAACTATTCTGACTATTAGAAAGGTTGTCTACAATATTTTTTTTTTAACAAACTAGGGGCAAAGAAGTCAAAATAATCTTAATTATTTTTCATAGGAATATAATGCTTACCCTTATCTGCTCACTCCTAGTATCACCATAGAGTGCTCAATCCACACACTCGTGTTTCAAGTTTGTAAGGCCAGGATCAGCAATTGCAGCATAAGACAAAAAAATAGTTATTATCTTCTTCCTGTGCATATCACAGATGCATATACAAGCGCTATACAGGGATAACACGTTTCAACCATGCAGGGTCTTTGTAAAAAGATCACCATAAAATGTTTCCTTCTCTTTCAAATACCCTTTACCTGGGTTAACTTTCCATCCATAAAAGTCCAAACCCAATCAGAAAGGATCGGGAGAGACAAGTAAGTGGGTATTTGAATGAAAAATAAACCATTTTCTGTTGCTTTGCCAAAGGCCCTGCATGATTGAAACGCGTTATTCCTGCATAGCCGTATAACGCTTTTTTATGCACCAGAAATATTGCCGTGAAGAAGAAAATAACGTTTTGATTTGATCTCATGCTGCAAGAGCTAATCATCTTGGACTTATAATCTTTATTCTTAGGTAGTCTTTTTAAAGTGGCAAACAATAACTGCCATCTGCCATTTCACTAGGAATTAATGCCATCCTAAACTTGACGTAAACCATTATCTTTAGTTGAGTGCAGCTAGGGTATTTCTCCATTTGTTGCTGCATTTCACTTGTTTTGTATTTTATGGGGGGGGGGGGG